TTGGGAAGTGACGTCACTTCTCGTGCGTTTTTTTTAGAGGAATAAAATATGGTGGCGGGTTGTCCCAGTCTTGGAAAATGCATTGTGGTGGGGGAAAGGCAATTCATATGAAGGCGAGCACAAATAAGGTTGAATAGACTGTTCTAATGAAAGTGTGAAATAGGATGACTTCACTATAGCACTTCTTGTGGTCTCAGTTTTTCGTGTATCCTCTCTTGTTCTTTTGTCGCTGTGACCATAGAGCGCCGTAGCTCGTAGTGTGATGATAGAGAGTGGTATTCAGCAAGAGACAATTATGTCGTGCTCAAAGTTTAATCAATATTAGATGTAGTGGTTTTTATTTTGGAAGGGGCGACTGTCACGAAATGAGAATCTTTGTGGCAAGAGCATTTTTTGTAATATAACAAAATAGCCGATAGAGAAATACAGCCGACTCATGACTAATTCCTAAAATTGCTTCATTGATATGAATACGATAGGATATTCGGTTGAACTTGAAATCGGCTTGGTTACTAGCTTTAATGTATGGAATCCGTCTTGTTTGTGACTTGAATAGTTATCAATGAGAAGCTGTGTTAAGATCTTGATCATGATTAAGGATTGAGTTTTAGAAGCGAGTGCGGCATGAAGCGGGAAAATAGCGTTTCGCTTGTTGTGTTCTCTCATAATTCTCGGACTTTTAGAAGATTCTCCTGAATCTTGTGGAGCGTATTCTCTATATAATTGATGAAGACTTTATGGAGAGTAAATACAGACGATGCGAAAGTCGCATTGCGAATGCATGGAAAGACTTGGAAAAAATAGACATCGCATATGAATAAGACCCTGATAGATATTTGATATACCTTCGAATGTTTTTAAGAAATATACCAGATTCTGATGAGATTGTAGAGAGCACTTGGTTACAATCGTCATTGATTTTGTTTTATTGTGCAATGACGAAGTATTTCAGGCGTCTTGGAGAAATCTTAATAATTTTGTTAATGTTAGTCACATGCGAAAAAAAATCAAGAAAGACTTCACCAAAGCCATACGCTATCGTTCGAGTGAAGGAGTTTAGTTTGATTACTGATCAAACATCTATTGAAGAGGAAAATTTTCGTTGATGATTTTCTATTTCAATGAGGCGCTAGAAAGAATGTGCGAGTGATGCAGACTGCTCATTGCCTTGTTTGAGATTTCTTTCATTTTCACGAGTCGTATTTCAACATGTTAAGATTCAAATGAGGATTTTTTTTCAAAGTGATAGGTGCGGACTTTGTACAGAGAAATGACGAGTTTCAAGTGCAATCATTCGTTAAAACGTCAAATACAAAATAGGCGTGTTTCGACAGAAAAAACATGTACATCTGTAGTGAGGAAATTGATTAAATCACCTGAAATATCATGCAGAACGTCAAATTCATTATTGTGCAAAATTTGTATTCGTTTAAATTAGGATATTCGATTTTATATGAGAAGAATGATGAACTGGAGAGCATTTTAGCGTCAATTTATCATTTTATCAATCAAATAAATTGCTCATCTTGTCTTAAATAAATCTCTATCCAGAAGATACCAATTTTGTGAAAAGTTACATTTCATTCATTTTACCTAAAGATTACCATAAGTATCAGAGTAAAAATAGATTAAAACCATTTTTTATTCGTTTCTCTTGGCTATAAGAGTCTATTGACACTCATTGGATTGGATGATTATATAACTATTATGATTTCAGATCGTTCCCAGAGCTCCTAAAGCTTTGACAGCTCTTATAGTTGCTTGGATTCTGGAACTTCTTAGAATTGTTTATTTTCTTTTGATGGCTTCGTTTCTCTAATGAATTTTTAGGTTTTCCAAACTCAAGAAGTGTAGAATTCATGAAATTTAACAAGGCCTCTTCTATGATCTTCAATTCAATTCATTTCAAGAAGTCACTTTTAAAAATAATGTAGGAAAACGAAACTGTGATATGAAAAGATTCGATGTATTTTAACAATCTCCCAGGTCCAATAAAACGGCGTCGTAAACGGCCTGAAACGGCTATAAAACGGCGATTAACGATGTAAAACGTCGATAAACGGCACCGTAATCCGTCATACCAGATTACGGAAGCAAAACCGGAAAAAACGACCGCCGTTTTCTAGCGATAGACGGTGGTCGTAATACGGTATGACGGATTACGGCGAAATAAGGCCAAAATTACTGCAGTAATTCGCCGTTTTATAGTCGTTTCAGGCCGGATACGACGCCGTTTCCGACGGCCGGAATGATCCACCTGGGCTATTAACTTTCTTTTGTGTTTACTCAAATATTGCAGAAAAATAAAAAAACTCAACAAAATCCTTGAAAATGGCTTGAATAATACCATTGATTCTTTTCTTTACAGTAATACTTGTCAAAATCAATATATTATCCTCGAATTTTTACTATTCTAAAATTAACAATTAAAATAACTAAAATAATCATTTGCCGAACTAACCGATATCTTGAAGATGATAGAAATCTGACACTAAGATGAAAACGAAATTTACCTGATATCGATGATATGTGTCAGTGATCGCATTCAGTCGTGTACAAACATTACGAACTGAATATAAAATTGTTAATTTATCGAGATTATCCAGAATGCGATAGACGAGCTCAACAGGTAATGTCAAAAGAGACGAAGAAACTTTATCAGACATTAATGTTACTTGCTTTCAAACAGTATGCTTCGTTAAAATGATTGCCTGTCGAAATTTATTTTTCTTTATACCGATGTATTTGTTGACAATGTGTCATCAATCCTTATGCTGGTTATACAATTTTTCACTTACACAAAGAATTGAAATAAATGCCATGTGACGAATGCGACGACAAAGCAAATTCGTAAAAGTCACTATGCAAATACGATTTTTTTTTTATTTGCATTTTATACAACACTATCAAGTATGCTTTGTTGAATGTTTGTAAGAGTTTCCATTTCTCTTGAATATGTTCGAAAATTATATCAAATGTTTTTCTCTCCATTTCGTTGTAATGTTCAGGATAAAAGCAAAGAGAAAAATAAATAAATAAAAAGTTTGGAGGATACGAGATCCAACAGACGAAATAGAAGAATAACGACATTGTTAAATATGTCAACATTATGATTTTATTGTTACAATGCAAGATAAATATCATACAAAGGAATACAATGAGCGACTGAAATAATACTTTTCTATACATAATTTTTTAAAATGACGTCCATCTTCACCAATGAAGAGAAAAGACCACAATAATATCATTCTTACTTTTTTTTTATCATTGATAATACAGAAAATTTTTAACAAACGATATCGATTTTCTCCATTATAATGTATAGTTTATTTGTAACAGTTTTCACAAAACGAAAATAGTGGTGAATAAAAACCTGTCAATGAAATTCCAATAAAATAACGTTAGAAGAGAAATAATTCTACAATTAATATTTCCCATGTAAATACAAACTTTTTTAAATTTATGAATTCGAGTAAGTTCTTGAAATTTTTTATTGAATTGAATTCTTTCATTTGAAGTTCTAATCTAACAAAATAATTTTGAATTTGAAGAAAACTACGTAGTCGTCAATTGAGTTTGTTGCATGAATGAGGATCTTAAATCCAGAAAATATGACTAAAGAAAAGATAAGTATTTTTATTTTCTTCTCAGCTAACGTTCACTATAGATACACTTTGTGTTCGTTGTTTTAACTGTTCATAAGTTGTTGCTGTGGTAAACGGTGAATGTATCCACTGTTAGCTTTAATTATCCTTTACCTCTGAATAAAATCTTTCATACATAATTTTTTCTTTCGATTAACAGAAATCTAAGTCACATACGTTTTTAGATGTATAGCTTTCATGACAAAGATAAGAAAGAGTAAAAAGAGAATGAAAAGCAAGAAAATAAGAAACTGTCACTCGTGAGAACAGATTGCTTACTAGGTTACATTTCAAAGGATAGATGAAGAATTGTGATCAAAGTATTGCGAAATCAATATAAAGTCAATAGTGTCGAAATGTACGGTTTGTTAGAGTAACACTTCCCATGTAAAAGTATTTACGTAAGTAGAATTAGCACTGTAAATAAGTTCATTTTAGTAGAATTATTCAATCTTCTGGTATGAGTCTATACCAATGTTTGACCGATAATGACGCGTCAGTTGTACAGTGATGCACAAAATTTTTCGCACGGTTTTCAAATCAAATTAATTTTCCCTGAAAATGTTTAGAAAAAAAAACCAGAATTCATATGGACCAATAGGAGACAACATGGGCTACATTTTAACAAATTCAAATTTTTCAAAGTAGAACTTTGTATGAAGCAATTCACCTACTTTACAACTCTCTATCTCCGTATTTACGTGAAGAAATATTTTTTGAACGACGGTATTAGATCATTGGAAACAAGGTTCTTGAAGATGATATCGAAAATAATCTCTCGTTTGAGAACGCTGATATGTGCATCATGTCATATCTATCGTAAAATATGCAAATTACTTCATAGAAAATTCTGCTTCGAAAGTTGCCATTTGCCAAAACGTAGCTCATGTTTTCCTCTATCCGTTCGTATGGATTCTGTTTTTTTTTGTAAAAATTTTCAGAGAAAAATAATTTAGTTTGTAAATCGTATAAAAAATGTTGTCCACCGCTGTGTAAGAAGTGCAGCTGAAAAAGTTGAAAACTACGCTTTGAATTGAGATTTTGTATAAAAATGCCTATCTCTTCGTAAGTTCAAGGATTACAAACCACATGTAATATCGACTCTTCAAAGTTTTCGTTGATCGTATACAGACTTTTAGACACTAAAATACTTCTCATAAACCTTGTACTTGATTTCAAGTTATGCAAACAATCTTTTTTAGTTAAGCAATTATTTGTCTAAGCATTCGCTCCTATTCTTTAGTTATAAACCGACACATTGATGAGAATAAAGATTTTTTTTTCTCATTTTTTATTGTCTGATCAAAATGAAAGAACTAACACTATACACAAAAAAATTAAAAAACTACGACAAGTTTATTTTTTTTGTTCTTCAACAAGTTTTGCAGCTTCTTTCTGTTCAACAGATTTTGTAGCTTCTTTTTGTTCAACATATGGTGCTTCTATTTTCAATTGACCATCATCAGTAAAATATGATTGAGTTTGTTCAACTTGTGTACCTGGTGGTAATGTTGTTGATTTGAAAAAGAATGATCGTTCAAAACTATTATCACCTTTATGTCGATGTTCACCTTTAACAATCAATTCATTATTCTTTACTGATACTTTAATTTCTTCTGGTTTATAATTTTTCATTTCAATAGATATTTCAAGTTGTTTTTTATTATCACCTTTATCAACAATTCGTGGTTGAAAATCTGAACCATGCAAGAAATTACTATAATCAAAATGTGGATCTCGATATTGACCAAATTGAACTAAATTTTGATTTTCATTCTTTGCTTGAGCAACTCGACGTTCTACT